TATCAATTAAAAAAAAAATTCTTAGAATGGCTTGCACAGGTATTGCTTTTATTCTGCTCCCAAAGGGAATGACCACTCACAGAACTTTCAGACTTCCTTTAGACTTGAGCACTATAGAAAGTGCATTATTTCAGTTTGAGCCAGATTAACAGAAATTACGTAATGTTCAAGAAACCATAAAGTTTTCAAATTTTTGGCCTTTATTTTAATATTTTTTATTTAAAAAGTAGTATACGTTCAATTAATCAAAAATTTTCTTGATTGCTACTGGATATAGGAGAAGGCAAAGTTAAAACTTTTATAATTCCTCAGACATGGAAAACGAATGATGTATGTTCTGAAATTTTTAATAATGATGACGATTATTTTATAAGAAAAGCTATATTAACATCTCACAATTAATACACTCATTTTTTGAACAAAAAAATTTAAAATAACATAGTCGGAACATTAGTAACGTACTATAGTATTGATAAAGCAACTCACAAAGGAGTAGATAATTCAGACGATAATATTCATATTAATTTCCCTACAGAATATTTTAATAGTATTAAAGAAGGTCTTCCTCCACATGAATTGAATTTAAAAATTAACGCTTTTGTTATGTTGATACGAAACTTAAACATATCTGAAGGACTTTGCAATGGTACAAGATTATGAATTACAAAATTATTTAAATACAACATCGAAGCTGAAATAATCACAGGTGAAAAAAAAGAAAATGAAGTCTTTATTACAAGAATAACACTACAAACAAACAATTCTTCCTCACTACCATTCATATGGTACAGAAAACAATTTTCATTTACCTTAGCTTTTTCTATGACTATCAATAAATCTCAAGGTCAAACTTTTGATGCCTTAGTATTATACCTCAGAAAACCATTATTTCCTCATGGGCAATTCAATGTTGCATTGTCTAGATGTAGAAACCCAAAAAAAATTTTTATCCAAATTGAATCAGAAAAAAAATTTGAAATGAAAAATATTGTTTGTAATGAAATTTTAGAGTAAAAAAAAAAACCACTACACAATTAATTACCATTTTTATACTTTCTTGCAAATTTTATCTTTCATCAAAAGTGCGAATTTCAGAACCGTCTATTACCCAGATTTATGTAATTATAAACAATCTGTTTTTTGTAATATGTTTTCAGATACACCATTATAGATGCAAAATTTTATCAGTGTGACAAATAGTACTCAAAATTTTTAATCAAGAGTGTCTATCATCGCACGAAAAAATTCACAAAAAAAAATTTTTTGTGATCTGTGTAGCATATTATAATATAAAACAAAAAGAACTATTTGCGTCACACAAAAGGAACGCCAAAACATTGAAAAAAATTTTAAGTGTATTAAATGCAAAAAAAGTTTTAAAAGAAATCATTACTTACAGAGACATTTGAAAAGTCATGAAGAAAACGTTCGAAAAAATACTTGTCAAAATTGTAGAAAAGGTTATGTAAGAGCAGAGCACCTTAAAAGACATTTCAGAGTATGTAATCAAAATAAACATCGTTAGTAAGATAATTGGAACAAATTTTTTGTTATGGTTAAATACAATTATATGTGAAAATAAGACTACTTGTAACAATTATTATATAAGGCTTTACAAATATATTTACATCATATATGGGGAAGCTGGGGGTAGCTGAGGGAGAGTGGGGAGAGAAGCTAAGGGGGAAGTGGGGGGAGCGGGGGGAGCTAGCAAAAAAGTAGGATGACTCGAAAAATGCAAGAAAATGTAAGAATAACTACCTTATTTGGGGGGGAGCTGGGTGGAAGCTGAGGGGAAGCGGGGGGAGCAAAACCTCGCTCCATTTCTTACTACTATATAACATAGGGATATATATATATAAAGCAGAAAGCTGATGTCTTACATCAAAATTTATTATAAATCTAGAAAAAAATTGATCAAAATCGTTCGGCTTAAAACACTCTATGCTAAAGAATGTATGATACATTATTTTTCATAACGGGACCATAACAAATACTAGTCCTGAGATTTTTGAACGAGTTTATAAAATGTGAAAAGAAAGAACTTATATTTTACAAAAAGCTCTAAGCTAAAATAAAAATTTTTAGAAAATAAAGAAGTTAAGATTTCAAAGTTATGACTCTTATGATGCTTTGCATTAGTCCTTACAGTATACTTAAAAAATAAAGAAATTTAAAGAACTAAGGCTTAGTTGTTACCTAAATACAAGATTTCAGTACTTTCACAAGCTATTTCATCATGAATGTACGTAATTAAAAGTGAATTCTTATTTAAGTTACATACCCATCTCTACCCACTGAGAACCCATCCCTGAAAATATCCACCAAACTTGTTTTTTTTCTCCTGAGTTGAAAAAATATTCTCTTTTCTTAGAGTCTTCTGAAACTAAACCTTTGGCAGGCACTATACTATAACCTCGGTAAAGATGTCCATCAATTTCCGATTGAAATATATCATATAAAAGTTGTAAAAATTCTGCATCAAGTGGTTTTGCATCCATCTGAAATATAAGTACAAAAAGCTCATGAATATTAAAACACATTTAACATTAAAATATTCCATAAGTATAAGTTTTTTAAAAATTTTTTGGAATAAATTTAATAGACCTGTACTTGAATACTTGTTATACAATGAATACATAAACTTCAATGAAATGAGTACAATGATAAAAGCATAGTGTATTTTTAAGTAAACAGCGGACATAACCAACACAATATCTTTGTTACACCTAGAAAATATAGATGACTGTATAAGGTGCTCAAGAAGTCTGTTAAGTCCTGGTTATTATCTGGAATTCGTGGGAAGTATTATTTGGATAGAATTTTTTTGCATGATCTGACGCGAAATAGTCACCTCAAAACGAATTTGTGTGTTACCAGGCCTCAAAGTATTAGGAAAATTGTTTCAAACAAATTTTTTTTTTAATTAAATTCAAATTATTGCTTATTTTGACCTGGAAAATTTTTTTTGAGTTTCTTGGACAATTCTGAATAATATCTAGTGAATTTTTTCCAAAATCAATACATTTAAAAAGCCGTTAAAATGACCATTTTCAAGTATGAAAAACAACAGTAAATGTAATAAATTTTGATATTGCTAAGGTTCTCAAATATTCTTTAAACATCCCTTGACAAAATCCTTAGACGTTTCCGGATATTATTTTATTGCAAACCCTCAATGTTTAGTTTACAATAAAGCGTGTGCACCGTTACGGTCGGCCACTGTTGGCCGTGGCTCTCATGCTCCGTCTTTTTTCCACTTACGAGAAGTACATGCAATTTACTGCCACTCATATTTAATTAGAATACTAAGTAATTTATTCTTCTACAGTAATTGTGGGAGTAAGAATTCAGTTATGTTTATATACTACCGTAAACCCAATTCAATTTAAAAATGATTCATCAAATGCTGTGCCGTGCCGTTTTTTATTAGCCAGCTGAAATAAACAAAACTGCTGAAAAGTACAAGGATCAGGATAAGATTCAAATTAGTTTTTAGAGAAAAATCACGTAATTTATTTAATACTTTATTGAACGAATAAGTAATCAAATGACAAAAAGTATTATGCACGTGCACTGTTTTGTTATTGTCAATTTTATCTCGTCTTGTTCTAAGCCCGTGTGATTCAAACTTTTTAAATGAAAATAATAAAGTTAGTATACTTAAGCGTATAAAACACTTTGTTACTATATGACATCTAAACTGACGCTTAACTTAGAATAATTTTTTTTATTTAAATACATGTATGTTTATATCGTAACACTTAGATGATCTCCATTTTACATGAATATAAAAGAGTGCATAATTACTTTTACTTCCACAATAACTGTAGAAAAATTATGTACAATATACTTACCATTGAAATTAAATATGAGTGGCAGTTAATTCTATGTACTCCTTTTGAGGAGAAAAGAGATGAAGCATGGGAACCACGGCCAGCGGCAGCTGACCGTAACAATGCAAACGCTTGCTTGTAAATTAAAAATTAAGGGTTTGCAATAAAATAATATCAGAAAACGCCTTAAAATTTTATTAAGGGATGTTTAGAGAATATTTGAGAACTTTAGCAACATCAAAATGTCTTATTTTGATTATTATTGTTCATACTTAAAAATGGTCATTATTAGTTTTTTAAACTTTATGCAATAATTATCTTGAAAAGTATTAATTTAAAAGAAAATTTGCAAGATTTTCTTTTGTGTTTAGAATTGTCCAGAGAACCAAAAAAAATCTTTTAAGGTCGAAACAATATTTTAAATTTAAAAAAAAAAAATTTGTTTCAAACAGTTTCCCTGAGACTCTAAGGCCTGGCAACATGAAAATCTGTTTTTAGGGGATTATTTAGCGTCAGATCATGCAAAAAATCCTATCTAAATAATTTTTACCATGAATTCCAGAAAATGACCAGGACTAGTAATTGTGGGACATTTGTGTGGTGTGATATGGGCTATCAATAATTTTACATAACTTATCTTTCTTATCTCCGTTATTCTAATAATTTATTAAGTATGTTGAGACATTCAAGCGTCGAAGCAATAGTTATACATTTTTTTCCTTTTATTATGAATTTCTTTATTCTTTGTAATTTACGTGAATTTTATCAATTTTTTTGCTTTATTTAATAGAACACAAAAATACTTTGTTTATAAGCTAATTTTTTGTCAACTTCTTGCTGTTATCTCACTCGGTAGGTGTAAGGAACTGCAGTAAAACAGCTAAGCACTACGTAACAATATATAACATTGTGTTGCTAAACATGTTATGTCATTAAAATAATAACGTTACTAAGGGCATTCCATACATCATTTAAAATTTCCACTCTATCGACTTTCCTATAATAAGGAATTATTGTTAATAACTAACTATATAACTATTTAAAATTTCAAACATGCACACTGACTGACTCTTTTACGATCACGAAATGTAACTTTTTTTCTAAGTTCGCAATACATTCTATGGAATTGAGGCTTGATTGTTTCTTTAAAGTACCAGCTTAGGGGCTTTTTTCATCATTTTGGGTTTAAATAGTTATGTTATTAATTATCAACAATAATTTATACTTATATAAAATTCGGTAAAGTAGAAATTTTAGATAGTATATGGAATGTCCTTAAGTTTAAAGTGTTTTTTTAAGTATATGAGTTGACGAGAATCTGTGAAAAATCTTACTTAATATTATTTGAAATTATCTGTATTAAATACGAATTTTAAGTTCAATACCTTTTGTATGATTTGTGCTCCGGATCATTAGAGAATACATTATAAATTAAAATATGAAAAAAGATTTCTGTCATGTATGTGTAGTTAAAAGTATGTGTTCAAATGTAAATGAGGAGCGTTGTCATGTTAGAAAGATGTTGATTTTGGTTAAAAAGACGTTCAGTTTGTGACTTACTTTGATGACTAAGTGTTAAAAGGGGTATTTTATATATGAAAAAGTAGTGTGGGTGGTAAGGACAGAGGTTCACATACAGTATCACAACAACAATGAATAAGTACTGTTAAAATATGATTTATTATAAAAATACAAAAATAATGGCAACAATGTGTATTAATCCGTCATTCGGGTGAATCGCTTACAAATATCGACATAAGACGAATAATTAACAAAATTGCCACGCTGGTGAAAAACAAGCGGCATATGGCCGGTAACGCATAATATAGTGTGGTAAAAAATGTACCTACACGCAAAAAGGAAGAAGAATATGTTGAATGCAAAATATTATAGTCTACACTGCATGGGACTAGTTTAGAGTAAGTCGCATGGCCGAACGCAAAAGAAAATAATAATAACCGTCGGAGGTGAATTCCGAGAATTTTAGTATCACTGTTCACGTGTGACAACTGTTATGATCTGGCGTATACCAAAGTAATACGTACAAGGTCAGCGCCGCTGCTCTTAAATCAACCACAAGAAAATGATGAAAAAATGCGTGATGACGTCTACGCGACACCAAAACAAAAAAAATCAAACCCAACACGCACCGCATTTACGTTCTTACTCATAGGAATTCGATCCTTATAGAATAACCCGGCGCTCTGGCGCGTCAGTGCCTTTCATATATTTGTAAACAAACAAAAGGAAGATCACTTAAGATCTTAATAAAAAATTAAATTCTTGGCCGTTTCGGCGATGCAAAAAAAAAATAAAATGTTATAACGCAATTACAAAGCACGGCGGGCCTTAGAATAAAAAGAATCTAGCAGACTAGCTAAATTAAGGAACGCACACAAAATAATCGCCAGATCAGAACGACACGTGCGTAGAGACACACAGTTAACGAGCGCGTCGACGAAAAAAACAAGACACGGGGCAAAAATCACACGGAAAAAACGCAGAGAAAAAACAATTGCAAGCCCGCAACTTAAAAAAAAGAGAACAACAGACAAGAAGTGATACAAAAACCAAGGAAAGCTTCGTCGTTCAAGCTAAGCAGATCGAAGGGCACCACTTGATTGATTATTAGACAACCATGGGCCAAGGATTACCCCTTCGATCGTGTGAGTGCTGGACTCACTGCCTCGCTGTCCAACGGGTAGCTCCTACTCACTCCTATCCGATGTTCGGCTCCCGATTCTACTTGGTTCCGCTTGGGCGTCCGGTGACTAACTAACTTTTTCTGGCTCCGCCTCGACCCCTTTCCTTTTGGTTCTCCCTTTGCCTCCTTTTTCTTTTCAGCGATGTACCTGCGGCTAACCTGCTCACTTACAAAATGCGCAATTCCCCTTTTCGAAAAAAAAGGAAAAATAGAGCAAGAGGTCCCACGTGACTCAGCCCGTGCGTGTACGCACCTACACCTTGAAGTGTCTTATTCTGTTTGGCAGCAACAAATACTATTTAAATTTAATAATTCTCCAAAGATGTCTTTTTTTTGCGCGGAGCTGACTTCATCAGCTACAATTTGGTATTCTTAAGATAAAAACTTGTTTAATATTGATGTAAGTACATCAATTGCCAAGCCAAGCGTGGTGGCTGGACTTAACGAATTACCACGCACCATGTCTAAATGTAGGTATGACTTACACTTTTCTTCTTAGGTCATACGTACAAGCTTACATTATACGCATGTACACATGTATAAACTTTGTTTTTTGTTAAATGATAAGCATCTAAGCTTAGTTACCATGCAATAAATAATTTTTTTAATGATAAAAGTTGAAAGGTATGATTACCATTAAACTTTTATTTAATTAGCCAAATGTTAGTGTAACTGCTACTGTGTTTGTATTACTGACACCCAATTGTTGTTATAGCTTAAATTACTGACACTCAATCAGTGCCACTACTTTTATGACTGTCATCTCAGTTTTTTTAATGTGTGAAACTGGATGTTTATATATTGAAGAGTGCATCGTATAAAAAAAACAAAAACATTATATTCATAAATTCTACAATTATCGTTATTATTTTTTAATAAGCTATTGACATTTAAATTGTTAATCCGTTAACAAGACTTAAATCCTATCATCTAAGCAATTGTAACATAAAAAAAACACGTT